TAGTACGGCAACGACTCGAATGTTGTGACTGAAAACACGCAATTTCAGATTGGGTCGTTTACCAAGACGTTTATCGCACTGGGAATTGCCAAGCTCGTACGTACCTAGCTCATTTTTCGATACTTCACAAACGTACTCATGAATGCGCCAGGTGGATGAAGGCCGCTTAAGCTGGGACGACCCGGTCAAGCTCCGCCTTCCGTGGCTTGAGCTTGTCGACAAGTACGCGGAGAAGTACACGACGCTCGGTGACCTCGCGGCCATGAACTCGGTGTTTGGCGCATATGAAGGCGACATTGTCTGGGGTATTAGTGTACATCCCAACGAGCGCAGCCTCGTGCAATCGCTGGGTACCTTTAAGACGACCCGGCGCCTCCGTGCCGGCTACGCGTACGCCAACTTGAACTTTGAGATTCTCGGTCAAGTGCTCGAGTACCAGACCAACACCACATGGGCCCAGTACCTCGACGCGACGTTCTTCACGCCGCTCGGCATGGTCAACACGTACGGTGCTGTCCCGGATGTGCCAGCAACTGGCGACCTCTCGTTCGGCCACGTCATCTGTAACGGCAAAGTCGCTGGCCCGTACGACTTGCGATCGTCGCCCGAGATTGCACTTGGGTACAAGAACGGGCACCTCGCCGCCGGGTCGATGCTCTCGACGGCATCGGACTTGGCGCTCTTCTTGCACGCGTCGCAGCACTGGCTGAGTTGAGCTTGTCGACAAGTACGCGGAGAAGTACACGACGCTCGGCGACCTTGCGGCCATGAACTCGGTGTTTGGCGCATACGAAGGCGACAACGGCTGGGGCTTTGGCGTCCTCCCCGATGAGCGGAGCCTTGTGCGGGCACTCCGCAGTTTCAAGACCACCCAACGCCTCCGTGCCGGCTACGCGTATGCCAACTTGAACTTTGAGATCCTCGGCCAAGTGCTCGAGTACCAGACTAACATGACATGGTCGCAGTACCTCGACACGACGTTCTTCACGCCGCTCGGCATGGTCAACAC